GTGCGCTTTCCATGACGTCACTGAACGTGGGGGGGGGAGTTCGTTGAGGGGGTTGGGGGTCCCTGCCATGCCCTCCAAGGCTTAGGAGTCTCCATGTTCGACTCTCGACGAACCTCAGCATAGTTTCAGTACGAATTTATTTGAGTTAACAAAACAGGAGCTCTGATCAGCCTGATATCCATATCCTGTCGTTCCTGTGAGCTGATTCCATTCATCGGGAAGGTTCCAAGCGAAAACGCCGAAAGGTTAGCCAGTGTTGGAATCATTGTTAATCTCACGTGCTTAGGAGTCTATTCCACCATTGATGTTCATGACGTCATCAAAAGCCGCACCACCTTCCAGCAATCGTGTTCATTGCCTCAAAGACCCCAGCTGGTATAGTTATCGCGACTAGCGACCACCATCACCTAATTCATGGACATCGACTTTTCCGTTGCATTCATGATCCAGTTTACGTAGACAAGATCTGCCAATGTCATGTCAATATTAGCAGTTCACCGGCAATTTTCTTTTCAATCCAAGCAACTCTCATGAATTGTGATGCTAGCTGAATAGGCAGTTTTCCTCTCTGCACAAACCAATAACGTTTGATTGCTTCATCTACGTGATGCACCCTGCCCCTGTTTTCCACTACAGAACCAAGTCAATTGAGAGATAGAAAATAAGGCAGCTGCGAAATGCGAAATGCGAGAACAGAACAGAGTATGAGATGTGCCCAGGTCTGACACTGAATTGATAGAGGATCCCATGATAAGGTTGAAGGTCGGAGAACTGGAAACTCATTCATTGAAAAGATAGACGGAACCCCTTAGGGTGCGGACCGACGCGCAATTCTAGGCGAAGGATATGCCCCCGGCGATCTAGCATGGCCGTCCCGCGCCGCTATCGACGCGGCACGCCCACCGACTGGCTAACCACTCGCCGCAGGTCTCTAGCCGTTTAGCAGAGAGAGCGTTAGCGTTGAAGAGGGCAGCACGATGAGAGTCGCATCAATGCGGAAATCAACGGGCAAGGAAGGGGTCCCATTTCTCGGGTTCTGGGCCGTTTCTCATGGTTTTTTCTTCGCTCCGTACCACTCACCATCTTTAACTTAATTTTCAATGAGCTGCCTCTTCTGAGTCTGCTTTTGATCTAACTGATGTCATAGCCATCGAACTGCGACATAAGACATCCACAGAAGGAACTCAATCATTCCACACGGTGCTGCTCTCTCAGGCGTGGAGCTTATGCTTAATGGTAATTGCCAGCAAAAATAGGCCCCAAATCAGTGGGAAGGCACTAGCCTACCGTAGTGATAAGACAGGAGCAACGCCTACTTCACTATGTAAGAGATCCAGTGCGTACAAACGCATTCTCTCTACAAACTGGTGGCCACGAAATGGAAGTGAGCAAGGACGGAAGGAGTGTGGCGTGTGGAGAAGGAGGATCTGCGTCGGCTGCCCTGGTAAAACAATGGTTTTTTAACCCATTCGCGACCGCGCGGGATTGCGCAATAGCAGGAGAGTCAGGAGATTTTTCTTCAATAAAATTTGAGTGGATGGAGATTTCCCTGCCCAGGGCTGGCGTAGATGAATGAGGGTATGAAGATTCTTTTCAGGAAAGAAAACTTTCCAAATTCCATTTGAAACACGGCAGCCACCGGTGGCTGCCATTGTCACGAATGGGTCAAAATAAAAACACCCAAAACCCAGCGATGCAATCCCAAGTCATCGACTGTGGTGGCCTAACAGCTATCAAACAAGAGCCAGCTCGCTTACATGTTGGACAGTAGACTTCATAGAAGTTAGCGATTTGCTGGAATGCTCTCAGTTTCATTAGGACTAACCATCCCTTCTCTATTCCGCCTCAGTTCTTTCAAATTCGGCCGGTAAGCAAAAATCCGATTTTACTCTTCCCCATATTTTATATCCTCGGTTTTTTTTGATTCTGCTGAAAAAACTAAATTGTATAGATTAAACTTCGTGCTCGCTTCGTTATATCAGGCTATAAATATTTTGCCTACGTCATAGGATGTTTGCGCTCATTTACCGGTTTCAATGCTTCAGGTCGGCCGCGGCCGTGGCCATCACTCATCGTATTCAGTCGTTGCAGTTGCTATAGCAGAGTCTCTGCCGATCGTCATCGCACCGCGCACAGTACTTCCACAGGCCAATGGGCACCGATCTGCGACGTCGCCATGTCGCCGCGCGCCAGCGATAGCGCATCGCCGTCTCCGTCCACCACTGATGAGGTGAAGAAATCACGGAAATGCAGTGTATCTCGGACAGAGAGCATACTTTTCCGAGTACCCGTGATACTCTTCTACGCCTTCTGGTTTCTCTTTTGGTATTTTGGTGTTGCGGAAAAACCCAAAACGCCATCGCTGCCGTGCGTTACGTGAAGCGGCACGGTCATACGGTAGCGCAGGAAATAATCGAGAATTCACGTGAATTTGATGACTTGATCCACATGCTTGATGTGGAGTTCACTCGACCGCCAGCATTTTTGCTGCTGAACCAGTACGCTCCTGAATATGACCTACAACTTCCTCTGTAACACCGCCAGCCTACCAGGTGTACACGAGCGATTGATATTTGTCACTCTTGACACGGTTTCTCGTGATGAACTCAGGAGAGACATGGCCCACTATTCGACAGTTCCACTGGCCAACACCCAGTCTTTATGTGAGTTCTGCTTTTTCTTTTGCTTTTCCTATATCTTTTTCAAGTTTGTTTTCTTCCGTTTTATTATTCCTTTTTCCTTATTCAACTGGAAGTGATTACGAGCGCTCAATAGTTTCAAAATGTCCCCAAGGTGGATCTTTGGCCTTCACCCATTTCAAAAAAATTTCTTTTACGTTGGAGGTCATTGTTCCTCATTTACCAGGAAGGTCTATTAGTTCGTGCCCCGTCTTTAAAAAAACGGTTTTTCACATGATGGAGGGGCACATGGATGGAACACAGAACTATGGTTTATTTTTCCTGAGCGGCCCTCTGATGCCGGAAAATGGGTTCAAAAAAGCTCAAGCGTCACACCTTTTTGACACATATTTTTGGCAAAAACCTACTCATACGGGCCACTAGAGGTTCTGATGTTAATACGGCATCCGTTACTGGTACCATTTTCTGGCATCATGCAAGCGTCAATGAAAATGCAAAACTTTATCACCATGGAATCGAACCCTGTACCAAATATTCATCCCTTTTTGACGATAAGGACTTTGACTCAGTATAAATGAGGCGCAGTTCTATGCTCCGTGCTCTTGTGAAGAAGCGCACTACCTGAGAGTTTTTCCTAGCGTGCCCGTGACCCTTTTTGCGGTGGGGATTTGATTGAGTACAAAAAATCTACCCGAAGTTTCACTGACCTGGCTATGTACCAGTTCGTGGAGTAGTTACCATAAAGGTTCTATTGTTCGGGTCTATGGATCACGCCTTTGACCACGTTCAATGAATAGCGACGGGAAGTGAAAGTTAGTTCGAGGTCAATCGTTAGCAGTGTTGTGAATCAAACTGCTGCTCAATCAGGGACAGCTGGGTTGTGAAGTGGGTGATGGAAACCGACATTTTTGCGCTTTCACGGTCTGCTGCTGAAGGCCTTCTATTCCGAGGGTTCTATTCTGCTGTTATCAAATTGACACCATCAAACTGCCCCAAAATGTTTCCAGTGAGGGCATCCACCTAAAAAACTACCCCAACTAGTGGAACTCCGCATGTTGCTGTAATACTTGTCTGGACTTTGTCCAACTGGATTTTGAGTTCCAAAAATCGCTGATTTCTATGAATTGTGATGATTTCGAAGAGTAATCGAATGCATGGCGCACTCCTCGAAGATTAATAAATCTTATGCTGGCTGGTCTGTTCACCCTTCCTCTCCCGTTTTTTCCTTCCCAAAATACATTTATTGCGATTCCGCATCCCCCCCCTTCTTCCCATTTCTATGTTAGCAACCGAACAATTATATCTCCGATGGAAGTTCAAGCTTACTGAGAGTTTGAAGGTTACGCGAGGATTAGGGTCTTTTATATTGGGGATTAGCCTGTAGCGCCTAGATGGGGTTCAAACGAAATGCGCTGATTGCGTTGTTGACAGCAAAGAAACCTGATCTATGATCGTTGAATCAAATGGTTTTCGAAGAAACCGCCAAACATGGATGAGAGGGTAATGGGTGTTGTGGAGGTAGGAATTCTCAGCTGATCGGGGCAGGATGACAGAAAGAAATGTATATGTTTTGTTTAACGTATAACTTCGTATAATGTATGGACAAGAAAATAAATAATTATTTTTGGTTTACACGTTGGTTGCGAACTGGAACATAAGCAAAATGAAGAAAGGGGGGTGTTCGTGAGAGGAGAGTAGAAGCAGTGGAAAGAGCAGCAGGGTGCCTCTAAAGCAGCAACCCCACTTCATGTCGGTGGGCAACAGCAATGTTGGGTGGGGACAGGACGTCTGGGGTCTAGATGATTCTTTGAACGCAACTTTGACTTTTTTCTAACCCTAATTTGGATACGAAAGATACTTTTATGATGTTTTCGACTTGCTTGATATGAATTCTGGGTCACTTTTTATTTTTCTTTCATTCAAAAACAACCCTTTACGCTTCGCATATTTGAAGAGAAGAACTGAATACAATTGAGTATTTGTGGAAGGAACAAGTTCGTTTTTGAATTGTTTTATTACAGAAGCCGTTCAGTTTTGCTGAAGGACCCTACCAGACGATCTACTTGTTGCGAGCGAATTTGGCAGTTAGCCTTCTTGAGAAAGTGAGTTTTCGCTGTTTCTTCATTTCACTTTTCTCTTTATTTTTATCTGGATTCTAATACTGGGCTTGATCATCTCGGCGGGTCGGCGGGGTAGGGAGGGGGGGGGGGGATAATTAATGCACCGTTTTTTGTTGGAACTGTGCATTGCACTTTGATCTTGGGGTCTTGAAGTGACAGGTTTCATTGGTACACAGACTAATTTTGCCGAAGCAAATTCATTGCTGTTAGCACGAGAAATGTTTTTTCCTCTCTTTACCTTCAGATTTTTCCATCTTTTTGCTCCTTTTACTAGGGAATTTCTGCTTTACAGTAATTTTCAAAATGGTTAGAAGCTGTCCGTACTTAATTTCTGTTTTTACTCACTGCTCCCATAAGAAATTGTTATGAACGTGAAAGCTCTATGTTTAGTCTTTTTTTTGTTTGGAGATTGACATTCACTTGCCCTTGAGGACAAGTGGAGGCGTCGATCGGTGGCACTAAAACTGTGCCGATTTGCAAATAGTCTATTACTAGATTTGCTTCGTCAAAATTCCAAGAAGAAATGAGCAATAACCAATTAATCGCAAGGTTAGACGACATGTGTTGTGGAAGAGAAGCAGTTGCCTATTACTGTGAGGAGGCCTAACCCTTTAAGAGAAGCTGCACAGGGCAAAGATGTGTTGAAAGCGTCCTCGTTTCCAAAAATCCGCTGAAAGATGTTTGTGAGGGGAAAAGGGGAACAGTGGCACAACTGCTATATGTGCGTTCGAGTTCCTTGAGAAGAGCCGAAAAACAAAGGGGCGCGATGAGGAAGATAGTGCAAAGAAGATTTCATTGATGGGATTTAATTACTTCGTTGGTGGTACTTCGAGCGAGTTGTATCCAGAAAAAAGCAAAAGCAGTATAGAAAATCGATATTTCATTTACGAAACTTCCGTGAGATTTAAGGCTATTCAATATTGAAAGAGCCGTTTTTCCTCTCACGATCAGAAATTATTACTTTGCACTGGCTTTATCCAGCGAACTAGTATAATAGCTGCCAGACGTGCTTGTCGCAACAGTTTTCGTGCACTACGTCTTTTCTTTTGGGAAAAAAGTAATCATAAGGTCAAGACTATGCCTTCTCGTTCCTTTTTTGAATCCCAAGGATTTAGAGGATTCAAAGTCAGTGAACGCGATGGGTAAAGGCGGAGCGATTTTGGTGAGTCATTGAGCGTGACTGGCGAAAGAGCGCTGGGAACTGATCTCAACTACCCCCCCCCCCCATGTAGCGCTTTGAGTAATATTATCGCTATATCCTCCAGCCGTCGTGTTGCCTTCGAGGAGGTCAGCCCAAAAGACTTGCCGAGTCAAAATTTGGAGTAGATTAGTTAAATGAGAAGAAAAGTTATGCACGAAAATCCATCTCAAATATACTTTTGAATGCTATTATCACGGTTTCTCGCTTCTCTGCAGCGTTTCGATTTATTCCAAATGCAAATTTTGCAGGTTGAAAACCTACAAAAATACGACTGCATGGCGCATCTAAAAGCTTGAGATCCTTACTTGTGATAAAATAAAGGAATAATAACGTGATAGTCGACAACATGGCAATATTTCAGAGGTAAATCGTTTCTGGATGATGCAGCAGGACACGTTTTGGCGAAAGAATCTCTTCGAACTCGGTTTCGAAGATGACATGTCCTACGATGCGATATTCGATCAATTAGGTGTGAACGAGAAGAGCATGAGAACCAACTGGGTGAACGGTCAGTTTTTTCTAACCTTCTTATTCACCGTATTTACTGAGGTTGTGCAACTGCAGCCATTGTCTGCTCGATCGTAGTGTCCTCGTTTGACCTGGTTTAGAAAGGTGCGTGCGCTGTCCACCACCAGTTGCGATATCTCTCACCCCCTTTACCTGATACCCGCCGCCAGGATAGCGTGTCAAGGCTATCAAACACCGTCGTTTGATGTGGTGAAGGGATCAATGGATAAGTGTTCTT